GTGCGGCTCCCCCTCCCAAACAATGCCAGACCCTTTAGGTCTGGTAGGAATGTTAGGAGGGACCCCATTTTTAAAACAAAGCGTGGGGCTCCCCCTAAAAGTCATACCAGACCCTTTATTCTCCGGGGTCTCTGCTTTTAGAACATCTTTCGGGGATTCTTCAGGCCTAAAATGTGCAAAATAAAATTCAAAAACAGCCCCGGCAGCGAAAGGGTTAAGGGCAGCATCACAGCGGATACAATGTATTCATTTTTCGGGATGCAATGTATTCTTTACATCCTAAGAACGCAGCCGCGTGTTTCTGAGAGTGGGGCATTGTGGGAAAGAATGCAGAGCATTGAAACCAGAGAGGGGGTCAGCGTGACCAAGCGGGCCTGGAGCAATTCGGAAGGAGGTCAGGAGGGGCACGGCAGGTTTATGTGTAAAGGGCTGACTGTGCTGCATAGAAAGCTGATGAGACAGCGCCACCTGCTGGCCAAAGCTGATAGGACGCCTCCCCGGGGATTTTCATTCCCAGGTCACCAGCGCGGTGCTACTTTCTCACTTCCTTTACACGGCTCTGCTGTTGTTTTTAACAAATTTTAACAAATCTCTGCGCCTTCTCAGATCTGCCTGTAAAGAAAAGAACTGGGGCGACACTTGCGAAATAAAAAAAAAAGGTGCAAAGAGGGAGAATTGTTTATTTTTATCAATAGGCTGAGAGGTATTTAAAGGATAACTATGTACTTAAAGGTGAACCTCAGCCTCCTGTTCCCGGCTCCTCTCCTGGACAGCAATGGTTTCCTCTGATTTCACTGCACACTGTGAGCTTCTCACAATGTGCATCAGTAGCCACAGCAGGTCAGAGAGAGCCTGCCTCATTTCATGGCATCATCTCCCTCTTTCCACCCCAGCCTGACTGCCCCTTGCCCCGCCCCTTTCATTCATTGGATCTCAGTTCTGTCAATCATAAAGGCTCAGCTTCACATGGGAGCGTCACCAAGGGTGGCCTGCATGCAGATACAAGGCAGATAGAGCCTGCCTCATTTCCTGGCATCATCTAGTGCTTTCCTCCCCAGCCTGACTGTCCATGGCCCCGCCTCTTTCATTCATTGGATCTCAGTTCTGTCAATCATGGAGGCTCAGCATTAAATGTGGTTGTCACCAAGGGTGGTCTGCATGCAAATACAAGTCAGAGAGAGCCCACCTCATTTCCAGGCATCTCACTCTTTCCTCCCCAGCCTGACTGCCCCTTGCCCCGCCCCTTTTTAAAATTGGATCTCAGTTCTGTCAATCATGGAGGCGCAGCATCACATGTAGGCGTTACCTTTGCAAATGCAGCCTACCTGGGAACGCCCACTCCTCCAGACTGACACCCACCCATCAAGTAATTTTGCTATTTGCATAACTCCTCCTAAGAGGCGGCCCACTGCCTGCATCAGAACTGATGGTTCTTGAGAGACGCACTGAGGCAGGGTGCTGTGATGTGTTCAGGAAGCTATATACAGCACCCTGCTGGCTCCTCCCACCAGCCTGCATTGCACAGAGAAGCACAGGGGCCCAGTGATGACATCTCTGGGTATACAACAAGGTAACGAAAATGGATACGTT